GCCCTCCAGTGCTCGGGGCCACCTGCAGTAGCTGGTCCCCGCCTCTACGGCGTGACCCTGTCGCCGCTGCAGCCCGGCCCCACTTGGACCACACGTGTTTCACGGGCCGTCCCGTCATGTGAGCATCTAACCCCCACACGTCCAGGGTACGTTTGGGGCGACGAACGGTCACAGCTAAAGTGCGTCAGCTGTCCCTGGCCTGGGCACACACGGCCCGCCGTCCGCTGCTGGTGTCGCAGCCAGAGGCCAGGTCCCAGGTCTCCCTGGTGCTGCTCCCTCCCCGCCTGGAGCTCCATCCTGCCCTGGAGCCCCAGGTGCCCCTGGGCACCCTGTCCCCAGGCTCCACCTGAGAAGGCCCAAACCGCACCCCCGACCACTCCCCTGCACCCATTCCCCCTCTTCGGGAGGCCCCCGGGCACCCAGGGCTCGTTTCAGGTCCTAATCTCAGGTCCTGGGATCAAACCTGCACTGGGCTCCACGCTCGGCGGGGAGTCTGCGGGAGATTCTCTCCCCTCCCTGCCGCTCCCCTGCTCATGTGCACGCACGCACGTGTGCACTCTCTCCAAAATACATAATGGTAGAAGAGAAGCAAAGACCAGACCACCCCAAGCACCCGCGGGGTGCCTACACCCCAAGACCACCTGCTGTCCTTCACGCCCTGTCCTGCTGAGACCCCGTCGTCACCCCCTGCTCTCTCCTCCCTCCACACTCAGCCTTTTCTGCACCAGCCCCGGGCCTCTTGCTTCTCTCTCCCTTTAACATCCCAACTGTAGGCTCAGGACAGTCGTTAAGAGCAAAAGCTAAGAAACCAGACCCCTGGATGTATTTCTCGTCCGTACAGCCTCAGGCGGGTTAGTTAATCCCCCGAGCCTCCACTGATCGCCTCCGTGCAGCGGGTATGAGGACAGTCCTCACAGGCCACACGGAAGTTTGGCAAGAAGCAAAAAACCAGACCCCAGACCCAGAAGGAAGCCCTCTGTTTGATGAGAACTATGAATTTCTACAGACCCATCAACAGCTCAGGAAATGTTTAGTGAACAAGGAGCATGACGTCTCCCCGGCTGGACCGGCATTTAGGGCCGATCCAACCCGGACAAAGGGAGGAGAGTCTGTCGAACAAAAGGAGTCATTCACTGACGCTGTTCGTGTGTTCCTCCGCTGGGGTCACAACACTATTACAGGACACCAGCTGGGCTTCTGTTCTGAATAATACGAACTTGAAAAGCTCCAACAATTTTTATTTTTATGTTTTTTAAGATTTTATTTAGGGGATCCCTGGGTGGCTCAGCGGTTTAGCGCCTGCCTTTGGCCCAGGGCGTGATCCTGGAGTCCCGGAATTGAGACTTGCATCGGGCTCCCTGCGTGGAGCCTGCTTCTCCCTCTGCCTGTGTCTCTGCCTCTCTCTCCATGTCTATCATGAATAAATAAATAAATCTTTAAAAAAAATAAAGATTTTATTTATCCAACAATCTTTAAAAAGAGGGCTCGGGCAGCTCAGTGGCTCAGCGGTTTACCACCAGCCTTCAGCCCAGGGCGTGACCTCAGGGTCCCGGGTTCGAGTCCCGTGTCGGGCTCCCTGCATGGAGCCTGCTTCTCCCTCTGCCTAGGTCTCTGCCTCTCTCTCTCTCTGTGTGTGTCTCTCATGAATAAATAAATAAAATCTTTCAAAAAAATAAAAATAAAAAGAGGGCTGCATGTTATGAAAGCCTCAGTCTCTGAGGAGCTGAATTGCTAGTTTTTGAAATCTGAAATTACAGGGAGTTCTTCGTACAGTGTCGCGTGTCACTCCATGGGTGGAGGGTTCCGAGCCAGAACCCCTTAGTCACCAGCACCCAGGAGGTGCCTTCTGGTCCTAGAGAGCGGCACGGCCTTGCACACCCCCATCTGCTCTCAGACCCGGGACCCACCGTCAGGGAGCCCGCACTGTGCTCAGACCCTCCGTCTCTGCCGTCTGGTCCTTGCCGTGAGCCAGCAACCCCAGCGACGGCACAAGGCCTCGCCACGCGCTCCCAGGACCCAAGGCCCAGGAGTCACTACTGCTGATCTCAGCCTGGCCCTGCTCTGCCCAGAGAGGAGGGGACCTCTTCCTCCTGGACCGCCCAACCTTCGGTGCAGTCAGCCTCGGGGGTCCTGCACTGAGGAACTCATCTGGTTCTGCTTTCTCCAGCCGCGGCCCCAGCTCTGCCCCAACGGCCCAGGTGGAGACGGGCTACATCCGGTGCATGCGCCTTAGCACCCTCTCTGTGGGTCCCACAGGGAAGCCAGGACTCGCCCTGGTCCTCCGACTCCTGCAAGTACCCCAGGGACTCCCATCCTCGGCGGGTAGGAGGCTTAGACAGTAGCGCACTTCTCTTGAGCCCTGGCCTAGTACCGCTCAGTGACCCTTGTGCGGCCTCAAGTCAGCCAGCTCCCTCCGCTTGCCCCTGGCTGTTCGCAGTCCAAACCCTCTATTTATCTAAAGAGGCCCCCGGCTACATTCTGTGCCTCCACCTTGTCTAACCATAGTGTTTCCTAACCTGGCCTGGGCTCAAACCCCATCCCTCCACCCCTAAACAGCCCCAACACTCATCAACGTGTTTGGGAAAGGCCCACGGAGAGCGCCACTGCTCACAGGACTGAATCCATCCTCTAACTTAACCTTTTCATCGAGGGAAGAAGCAACTTCTTTTCTTCTTTCTTCTTCTATTTTTTTTTTCTTTTTAGAGATTTTATTTGCTTATTTGAGAGAGAGTAAGAGCGCATGCACACAAGACGTGGGGAGGGGCAGAGGGAGAGGGAAAAGCGGGGAGCCAGGACGCTGGGATCCTGACCTGAGCTGAAGGTAGTCGCTTAAGCATTGGGCCACCAGGTGCGCCGAGAAACAAGTTCTATTCAGGCAAAAGTGTCCAGACCCAGAGCCTTGTCTGCAGATGAACCTGCCCAATCCGAAGTCTGGGAGGCAATACTGCACCCCGGCAGATTTACTCGGGGGAGCGTCATGGGGAGGTGGACACCTACAGGGACCTTTGGAGCGAATGTCAGTTAAATAAAACTTGGTACCCAAGACCCACTTCAACAGAATTAAGAGACCACAACGTACATAAACCAGACCAGATTCAGTCCATCCACATCAGAAGAAAGCTAAGCCCAGAACCACCGGAGAAGCAGGTGTTAGAACACAAGGGAGGTGTCTGCGGTTTGCCTGCCTTTGTCTCCACTGAGATGCTAAACTACTTATGGTTCATCTAAGAGATGAGCTCTGATTAAGGTTTAATAAAGGGAAAAGAGGGGTGCCTGGGTGGCTCAGCCAGTTAAGCGTCTGCCTTCCGTTCAGGTCATGATCCAGGGTCCTGAGATCGAACCCCACATTGGGCTCCTTGCTTAGCAGTGAGGCTGCTTCTCCTTCTAAAAAAAAATAAAAAATAAAAATAAAAAAATAAAGGGAAAAGAGACAGTGAAGGAAGTAAAAGTATGAGAGGAGCAAAGAGGCACTGCAGGAAGGAATGCGTGGAAACAGCAAGCAGGGCATGCTTTCTCCTTGAAGAAAAAAAGATGATTGACTTATTTCACTCAGCATAATACCCTCCAGTTCATGGGATGAGCACTGGGTGTTATTCTATATGTTGGCAAATTGAACACCAATAAAAAATAAATTTATAAAAAAAAAACAAAATAAAATAAAGGTCATATTTTAATAATAATAAAAAGAATTTTTGCATATCCAAAAATAAATAAATAAAGTAAATGAGAGTTAATCGAAAAAAAAAAGGACGATGGGGAGCAGGGAAAACATGCTGGTGTGAACTGTGTTGAAAGATGCTGCATAAGAATCAACATTTTGTACGGCACGTGATTCTTTAGAGCACCTCATCCACGTGATCCTGTTGAAATTCAAGAAAAGTCTATGACATAAGCAAAAGTGATCACTTTTTCTTACCATTTTAGAGGAAAAAAAAATTGAGACTCATGGAGGCTAAACGATTTAAGGGGTATAGTAAGGCTTGAGTTTCTAGTTCTCAGGTTCCAAGGCCTGAAGTCTTTCGACTACCTCAGTGGGTCCCAAACAACATTCCCGAAGTCGCCAAAATCAGGGTGGATTCATTCTATGTAATTTCACTTACATAAAGTTCCAGATGTAAGGCAGGTAAATGTTATGGTGATAGAAATTACGGTACTTTTCTAGAGGAGGTTGAGACCGATCGGGAAGGGCAGGAGAGAACCCGCCATCCTCCCTCTTGGTCAGGTGTAGGCTGCAAGCGTGTACACAGTTCTCAAATCCCACCGGACTGGGTTTTTGAAGCTGTGCATTTCCTGAGGTGCATTTCACCTCAATGGAACAAAAAGCAGTATCCAAATTACAGAACCTATTAAATTCAAAATTTGAGATCTGAAAGTCTATGTCCATCCATCTCTAAGCGTTAAAGCTCTTGCTTATTTTGTGTCTAGAACCACTTCACAGAGAGCTCCTGAACCCACCATCCCAGCAGCACTTTATGACAAAATCTGGTTTTGTCATAAAATATAAAAATTAAACATTACAGTTATTGTTCTCATTTGACATTTGCCAAGGGCATAAATTATTCAAAATAAGTCAGGGGAGCAAGCCCAGTGAGGAACATTACCTGTCACGTTTTAAGATGTTGTAAGTGGATGCATTTTTTTCACTTGGCATAAATTGCTTTTGTTTTGGGGAAATAGGGGTAGAAAAGCTGCTACTTTTACTACAATTGGGTCCACATCCTTTCAATTACTTGGGCCCAGATTCCTACATAGTAAATGATGGTTGGAGCTAAAGCAGCTACCAGATACTTCTTATCTAATTAGAAAGTCCCCAACACTCCCTATCGTACACTCAAACTCCCTCACTTACTTATATTTACTGCCTGACCCAGTGATTTTTTTTAAAATTTCAGAATCAAACTATGAATAAATTCAAAATAAAATACATAGTTTTCAGATGAACTGAATAGCACTAATGATTTTTCTTAACAAAAACAGACTGAATAATAGACTATACTTACTCGCAGAGGAGGATTCCATTTTCTAACCCTGTCCGAAAATCTTTGTCACCAAAACTTCTGCCGGTTACTTGCTGGAAAAAAAAAAAGAGAGAGAGAGAGAGCATAAATTTTTCTTTTTCAATCAGGAAGCTCAATGATTTTTTTTTTTAATATTTAAGAGGCTTCAAATAACTGGTGACATTTCCAAGAATGGGGAAAATCTGTTAGGTCTGAATTTCCTTTCCATGTGTAGCTTTGCTGAGATCAGCTAATCTTAAATTTAGACCATTATTTTGAAGCTTTTTCCTACCCAATACCTTAAAAAAAATGTCTGTTCTTCCTGATAAGGATATTACTTTTGGGGCTTGGCCATAATAAGTCAAGGCCACGGCCTCAACCCACACACTTTCAAAAAAGTCTGCAGAAAGCACCACCTAAGGATAAAGTCTCTATTTGTAAAAACATTAAAGGGGAAGAGGAGGGAAGGATACAGACACTTAACCTCAAGAGACAAACATCAAGACAGGAATATGAGAGTCAATACCCATAATAATTTGGGGTGAAAGAGGAAAATAAAATCTGGAAAAGAATGAGTAACAGCCCAGGACTGATTCTTGATGCCTCTGGCTCTCAGCAGCCCTTTGACCTAGGCACCGGGGCACTCACTGTCAAATATAAGAATATTGAGTATCTACAGTGTGCCTGATAAATACTATAAACCCTAAAGCAACTTCTAAAGTAGCAAAATAAACACAGTATAGTTAATAAGCTTGGAAAGGAGATAAACTAGAGCCATAAAAAATACTCTTAATAATTAAAAAAGGCAAAAAGAAAAAAGAGGAAAAGAGAATACAGAACAGATAAAAAAATAAAATTAAGTGACAATACTGTACACTTATACCTAACCATATCAATAAGTGCATTAAATACAAATGGCCTAAACATCTCCAATTGAAAGACAGAGATTATCATATTGGGAAAAAAAGCAAGAGCAAACAATGTGCTGCCTAGGAAAAATGCAGTTTAAATATAAATATAGTGGTAGGTTAAAAATAGAAGAATGGAATAAAATAATAACATGCTAATGCTAATTTTGAAAAGCTGGATATTAATATCAGACAAAGAAACTTTTAGAAGAGTAATATGAAAGACAGACAAAGTCATTTCATAATGACAAAGAGTTTAGCTAATTAGGAAGACAAAAAAAAAATCCTAAACAGTTTTGCATCTAATAAAAACTTCAAAATACATAAGCCAAAACATAGATCTTCAAGGAGAAATAAACAAATTCACAACTAAAATTAGAAATATATTATCTCTCTCCCACAAGTGATAGAATAAGCAAACAAAAAATGAGTAAGGATATAGAAGATTTGAACAACACTGTCCACCAAATTGACTTACTTGACATTCCAACAACACTTCACCCTACAATAGCAGAATACATATTTTTCTCCTTTACTTCACAATGAACATGTATTGAGATAGACCAACTTCTGAGTCAGTAAACAAGTCTCCACACACTTAAAATAACTCAACCCATAAAAAAAGCATGTCATCTGACTACAATGGAATTAACTTAGAAATTAACAACAGAAATATCTCTAGGGAAAAAAATCTAAATAATTTTAGACTAAGTAATGCCATGTTAGCCCACTGATGAAAGAAGAAATAGAAAGAAATTAGAATATATTTTGTAGTGAAATAATATGGCAACATAAAAATGTATGGAAAGACACTAAAGCAGTATTTTGGAGAAATATATAGCACAAAACACCTGTAACAGAAAAGAAGACCTTAAATTAATGAATTTTGTTTCTTTCCACATTAATTAAGTCCAAATTAAGTAGAAAAAAGGGGGGAACCATATCAGTTGCAATCAAATCAAATAGAAAACCACAAAGCAATAGAGAAAAACCAATGAAATCAAAAGCAATTTACTTGAGACCAATAAAATTGGGAAACATCTAGCCAGGTTGATAAATCTTTAGCTAATAGAACAGAAAATCTTTGGGTTTTAGCCAGAAGAGAAAGACACAAATTACTAACATCAGGAATGATAGAGATGACATCATTACAGATTTTACAGGCATTAAACAGATAACAGTGAATTTTATACATGAATTTATTTCAATACATTTACCAACTTAGATGCACTGGATAAATTTCTTGACACAAACAACCCAAGTTCGTTCAATAAAGAAATAGGTAACTTTCCCCAAAGAAAATGTCAATCCCAGAAGGTTTATCTGGTAAATTACAACAAATGTGTAAGGAAGAAGTAATGCAATTCTACATAAACTATTCCAGACAACTGAAGAGGAAAGCATACTTCCCAACTTATTCTATTAGGTCAGGATTACCCTGATTCCAAAATCAGACAAAAATATTACAACATGCACACACACAGAAAATATGCCAACATGTTGTCTCTTCGTGGTGGGAAGCAGGTGTGATTTTTATTCTCTTTTTAAAATTTTCCCTACTTTCCTAAAACTTTCAAGAAAGAAAGAAGAAAGAAAGAAAGAAAGAAAGAAAGAAAGAAAGAAAGAAAGAAAGAAAGAAAGAAAGAAAGAAAGAAGAAAGAAAGAGAAGGAAGGAAGGAAGGAAGGAAGGAAGGAAGGAAGGAAGGAAGGAAGAAAAAGAAAAATAGTCCTTTGTTAATATCTGCTCATTTTTACTTAAGGAAATGTGAGAAAATGGATAAAAAGTAGCTTGTAGTTACAGTTTGCAAATATCTAGGTCTCTCCCTAAAATAAAGAAATTACGAAAGATCTCTTTTAAAAAGCTAAGATTTTTAAACACAGACTTTAAAAAATTTAGCATTTTCTTTCCTGACTCTATTAGTTCTAATTTATATTCTTAAAACACCACTAACATGATCTGTAAAAGTAACCTTTTTGGGGGCACTTGATGGGATGAGCACTGGGTGTTATTCTATATGTTGGCAAATTGAATACCAATAAAAAATAAATTTATATATAAAAAAGTAACCTTTATTCACCAAGAAGTGATTAGAAGGTTCTGAAAACATTTTCCCCCAATTCTTTACATTTTTATTATAATTTGGGGTGCTAACAGTGGGAACCCAGAGGGTTTACCTATATCTATTACAGAATCTCTGGCCAAGATAACCCAGGTCCCTCTCCATTTATTGAGCCATGATAATGGGCAGGGTCATCAGAAACACAATCAGCCATGGACACTGCATGCGAAACACTCAGAAAGGAAAGTGGATACCTAAAACTCATATCCTAAATAGAAGGTAACAGGACTATTTAGATTATAAGAAAACATTGGTGGTCCATGGATTACTCAAAATTCTCATGTACTATTTAAAATTATGTTGTATGTGATGCATGGCTAGGAAGACATGTCAAGGAGATTTGATTTAACAGCCAGTCTGCTAATTAACATCCTCCAGGGTGTAGCCGCATTAAATTCAATTTCCCGACTGCCAACGCTGGAGGTGGGAACGGGGCCCCGTGCATCTGGAGGAAGGTCATTTCTGCCTCTGTTCTTCCTCTCTTCCTTCCCTGCTCCTGTGTCCATCAGGTCACAGCCTTCTCACTGCTCTCTGCGGACTCTAATGCCATCCTTTCTTCCGAGCCCAAGTCATTCAGTATAGACGGGTCTAGATCTTGGTTAAGAAGGTCAACAGTTGGGAACCCTGGGCGGCGCAGCGGTTTGGCGCCTGCCTTTGGCCCAGGGCTCGATCCTGGAGACCCAGGATCGAATCCCACGTCGGGCTCCCAGTGTATGGAGCCTGCTTCTCCCTCTGCCTATGTCTCTGCCTCTCTCTCTCTCTCTCTCTCTCTCTCTCTCTCTCTCTGTGACTATCATAAATAAAAAAAAAACAACTTGAAGTCACAGGGTAAATATTAAAAAAAAAAAAAAGAAGGTCAACAGTTGAATAGACTCCAGAGATTCAACAAGGACCATGCACTGAAGAGGCAGGTCCTGAGACCAGCAGCAGCAGCATCTTCCCCTGGAATCAATGTCAGAAATACAGACCAGTCCTCCTTTCCCTCTACAAGATCTACTTAATCAGAACCAACATCCCAAAAAAGACCCCCCATGTGACTCACACGCACAGGAAATTTTACAAAGCCCTGACCTCGCCTATGAACGTGAGCCAACAGCTCAGCATCAGAAAAGGACGACCTTCCTTTGCTGGAATCAGGATTTCGGACGTCTTGTCTCAACAACCCCTCTCAGCAACATCTTTATGTTGTGTTTACAATGTCACACATTGTGAATTTTGTCGCTAAAGACTGTTAATTACTGTTCCTTTCGCGACAGCATTAAACCATTGCTATAAAAAATAGGACTGTCAAGAATCAACCACCGGCACCCACGGTCCAGGAGCAGTGGAAGTGAACAATCATCCCCCAAACGCTTCACTAACCTTCCCTCCTGGATCCCAACTAAGGCCTCTCATTAACCTTCCAGACAAGGCACTGGCCAAGCCATGAGCTCCTGATGACTCCCCAAGGACGCTGAGCAGGATGGGGAAGATCCAGGAAAACTCTTACTACGGAGAGAGCCTGAGGTGGGGATGGAGAGAGGAGTGGTGGGGAGAGCGCCCGGGTTCAGGAGCATCCCAGGGCTAGCAGTGCAAAGGCAGCTTGAAATGTCAAGGACGCCTTATCATTTCCCCCAGATCCTGCTCTCCACTCCCTGCTGACCCTCACCTATCTGACCATTAGTCCTTGCAGCTCCATCCTGGCAGCTGCTCAGCTTTGCCATGCTTGACCCCTCTCCCTCACACCCCGTCACACCCCATCACACCCACCAACAAATTCCATTGGTTTTCCCTTCGGAACTTAGCCAGGACTCAACCGCTTCTCACTGCCTCCACTCTACCACCTACTCCGAGCCCGGAAAAGTCTCTTCGCTGGCCTTCCTGCTTCCACCCTTGCCTCCCTTCCCTCTACTCTCAACGGAGCAAGCCCGGGTAATCTCGTGACGTTAGATCATGCCACTATTGCACTTAAAATCCCTCAATATCTCCCCATCTCACTCACACTAAGGGCCAAAGTTCCTACTGTTCCCTCAAGGCCTTCACCAGAGAAACAAGCAAGAAACAAAT